CGCACACCGCAGCCCCGCAGCCCCGCAGCCCCGCAGCACCACAGCCCCGCAGCACCGCACCCCGCTGCCCCGCAGCCCCGCAAAACTATAGAACCGCACCCCGCAGCCTCGCAACCCACAGCCTGGTAGCACCGCCCGCAGCCCCGCAGCACTGGTAGTTGCGCCAGATACAGCGCCTTGCTAGTCACTTGATGCAGTGCACGTGGGCGGCACAGAGTCTAAGGGCCTCGCCACACAGGCTTTCGAAACGTGAAAACGACAAAAATGTGCCAGGTGCATCTGGCCATGTTCTAGCGGGAAGTTCATTCTCGTTTTGCACATTTCGACAGCCTGTGTGGCGAGGCCCTAAGAACCGCACCAGGTAGAATTGAAAACAAAAGAGCCAAAAAAAAAAAGAGCCAAAAAAGAAAAGAAAAGGGCCTGAAACAAAAAAAAAAAGAAGAAGAAAAGGGAACACGGCATGCACTGTGTGTCCCGTAACTTAAATGGCTACCACTGTTGCGCACTGCCCACCGGTGCCACCACACTATAAAAGAGTGTGGCACCAAAGGCTTGCTCAATCTCATCGATTGAGCAAGCCTTGCTCATCGATTGAGCAAGCCTTCAGCTGTGGGTTTGAGGCTTGCACGTCGAGTTTCTCCACAGGGCCGTCGACGCTTGCACGTTGCGTGCGCTTATGCTTGCGTTTTGCGGCGTTATGTGGTGAGGTAAGTACAACTGCGTTGTACGAAACTCGTCTCGAAGGGCAAATTTTTTTTTCTTCTGCGTGTTGGAACAATTTGCCGCTAGAACATGGAAATATACACGGCCATGATTTGTGTCTTTTGAAAAAGGCAAAAAAAAAAAAATTGGTACCATGCATTTTTAACAAGGAATAAAAAAAAAAAGAGAAAACTACGGCGCAGTCAGGGTTACATTTTTTTTTTTTTTTTTCATCATGTAACACTGAGATTGCTGCTTGTTGTTAACTGGGGCTGCGGTCTCTTCCTGAGTCTTCTGTTCTCATGCCTCCTTTTAGCAGTTCAGTGAGGGCCCGAGTTTCAATTGCATTTGAAAATGTGTTTAGCAGTTTGAAACTCGGGCTGGCTTTTTCTAGCAGTTCAGTCAAGCACAAGGCCGTTTCTTTCTTTTATGGTTTTTTTTTTTTTTCCCAGTGTCTTATTTTGGACCTGGACCCGCTAACAAAGTATTCTACGACGTGTGATACAGTTTTATGTTTTTTTTGGAAAATACAAAGTGATTTTTTATTTGCATGCCACACGTGATAGAAATCCTGAATGGCGTGGTAGAATACCTTGCTAGTGGGTCCAGGCCCCTGGCCCCTGGGGTCTGGTCCCACCTTTTTTTTTTCCCTAGAAACACTCCCCCGCCCGTGTTAGTGTTGCTGATAAGAGCAGACAACGGGTCTGGTCCCACCTACGGTTGTTGAGTTCAGAAAACTCAACGGTGTGAGTCCGTGTGACGCCATTTTTTTTTTTTTTTTTTTTTTTTGGGGG